ATTAAGATGTGTGTTGAGCAGGGAAATCTGCAAACTGCGTTGGATTCTGGCCCTTCAGGACAGAAACTGGCCCACCCTGTTGTACCATGTGCAAATGAAAATAAAAAAAACCTTGAAACTTGAATTGTAAGGACCTTTTTATGAAGACTTCAAATGTGAGTGGCTGTAAGGTGGGCATTGTATGGGTTGGAATGAAAGGACTGCAAACAGGAAGCCTTGTTCCATCATGCAGATTCTATTGGCGATTGGCCACCTCTGTTTCTAATGGAGATTAGCTCCCTCAACCGACCTTGGCAGAGATGAAAGAGTCCTGTTGGATTGGCCTGCTAATGTCTTGATTGATTATTTCTGTTCTGATTTACTGTTTTTCCACTGGATCTGTCAAATGACATCACCCAAATGCAGGTGTGAGTCAGAACAAGGACGACAGATGCAGGTAAGATGAACAACTGCTGCAGCCGGAGTTTCTGAGAACTGCAGAGCGTGATATCTCCTGGCAAACGCAATCTGTCACAGAAATATGTAAGACCAGTGGACTGGAAAGAGTGACACGCAGGGCATTCATTAATTTTGCCTTTCCTGTAAATATAATTTTAAAACATTTTCAATTTCCAAAGTAATTATTTTTATATAAATGTTGGTTAAAAGAACATAATAAACTTCAGAGGGTGGAGTGTTTAGCACTGCTAACTCACACCCCTGGGTACAAGTCTGGGTACAAGTATCTGCTGTGGCTCCATGTGTGTGGAGTTTGCATGTTTTCCCCGTGTCATCGTGGGGTTTCCTCTATGTACTCTGGTGTCCCCACACAGTTCCAAAACATGCTGAGGTTAATTGGAGTCAGTCGAGGGACCATATTGCCCATAGGTATGCATGTGTGTATGAATGCTGTGTGAGTGTGTCCTGTGATTGGTTGGTGCCCCATACTGGGTTGTTCCCTGCCATGTGACTATAGCACCTGAGATATGCTCCATGCATTTTGGGTTTTATGTTAAACTGTGCCTTAATTTTCTACTGAATCATATAGAGTAAATTAATGAAAAGTAATCACCTGTTTAGAATGGTAGCAGAGGCCATCAGACTAGAGAAAAAGGTTGTTCGTGATGTGTATACAAAAATGGCATCCTCCCTCATCATCCATGGTAAATTCCGGCTCTGGGTTCGATAATTCTTTCTCCATCTGCAGCCAGTGAGTCCAGTGGCAGATGTTGTTAGTAGTTCGATGACTCATCGCTAAAATAGAATGTCCATCCAACATGACTCTGTATATAATTATGAAGATGAAGCTGATAGCATATTGACTTTATGCAAACTTAATGCATTCGTGCTTGACATACATTTATATAATCACATATATTCAAATCTATTCCATTATGCAATCATATGTGAACTCTGCAGCATGACTGTGGCAGTGAATCTGGTAATCATCACAATGTCCCAGTTTGATAAATTCCCTGTCATAATTCCAAGTTGTGGTACAGGGATATACATGTGTGTCAAGCTGGAGGTGTATGAAGTAGGCTGGGATTTGGTTCCCCCTGGTGGACGAAGCTGAGAAACAGGGTAACAAGCTCCAGGTAGCCAATAACCTGCATGTGCCATTCATAGGACACAGTTTTCTACGCTGTCGTCTCCATTGGTGGTGAACAGATTCTTCCGCTATGCTCTGCTGGGGTCCCAGAGCAAGCCCTTTATCTTCCTCAAACAGTCCAGATGATTCTCTGGCCCATACAGTTTATCAAGTAACAGCCGACTTAAATAAGCGTTGCCTTAAAAGTGTTACAGGAGGCAAAAGAAATGGAAACATTCTGGCTTCAGGCTGTAGAACGCTGGCAAATTGCATAATACCTCTGTTTATGCCTAAAATATAATTATATGTATCAGTTGTAGCTTTAAGACAGTAAGAAATCCATCATCATGCTGAAAAGAATCATGATGCAATCCTGCTATAACTGCGGACTCCGGCCTTCATTTGGACCTCCCACTCGGTTCGGCACGTTCTGTCGTTGGGACCCCCTGCTGGGTTTGAGTGGACCTTGGCTTTATGTTGCTGATGGAGTTTGGTCCTCGGGGATCCTTGCAATAGACCGTCATAGAACACTTATTTTCTGAGGTATGATCCTATGACCCTTGCTGTGTTTCTTAGATTGTAATCATGTGCTGTGTTTCTCAGTGGTTCGCCACTCTTGAGAGAAGGGATGGTGCCATAGCAGAGACATGTTCTCAGGAGGACAGTTCAGGATCTATGTCTGGACACAAGAACAACAGTGTTGTGCTTCTAGTTCTTGTAGCTTGGTACCCAATTCTACCTTCTGAGTGACAGGGCTGGAGTATCAGACCTTCAGATTCTCAGCACCATGGGGCCCTTGAGCACTGCCTAGTGGCCTCAGTCTGCTCCTGGGTCTCCTCATGGTCCTTGGAGGAGGTACAATCCTTGGGTGTGGGGTCATTCCACTCCCATAGGCGCGGGAGTGTGGACACAGCCCAGAGCCAGGTGTTTGTGAAGGTCATGAAGCAAGAAAAAGCAACGAAGATGAGCAGCATGAGAGGGCAAAGCAAGACGATTGGCAGTGCAAACAAAGCCACACCCCCAAACTCCTGGGGCTCCTCCTCCACCTGTAGCTGGCTGGAGGGGGAGGGGCCAACTAATGAGGTGCTGATGTGACACTGTCACGTTTTCGGACAAGGGGAGGTGTCTGACATCATTGTCCGGAGCTCCAGTGGTGAGCACAGCATTTGGTGTATGACAAGAAAAACAGCTCACAAGCACATTATTATTTGATGCTTTTATCCATAGCAACAGAATGTTTAATTAAATGAAAGATTTTAATTGTATTTCTCAAGGCTCCACTTATAACTGACAATTTTTAGATTGCCTGTCTGTCTATAGCTGTGAATGAATTTCCTGCAGTATGTGGTGAGTTTTAAATCTCTTCTGCTTTCACGCGTTTCCTGTATCCGTCGAATTGTCATTTTGCCGGAGTATCTAAGATATCCGCTATAGAATGTTGTTAGAACCTACTGCTGTGGGAGGCTGTGTGAGTGCAGCATAACCCCATGTGATGTGAGGGAAGGTGAGTTAAAGGTGAACACGCCAGACCCTGCAGTAGGAACATGCCTTGTAATTCAGCATTATAAGAGAGTTGACCACCAGATGGCGGTGTTGGGCGGCTTTTATTTGGAAGACTTCGTCACGGTGTACCATTGGTGTGCTATGCAAACGAGACATTAGTCCAGCAGCTTATCGCCTATACACGAGCCACTAGCATCGCCACTGTTTCAATACAAACCAGTACATACAGCTCTGGAAAAAAATCAAGAGGCCACTCAATGTATTTTTTTAGCAGAAGGCTACACTGTGATGCAGGCTGCTTCCTGGCTCAAAGTTTCTAAGACAGCAGTACAGAAGCACATGGTGAAGCAGGAGACACTGGGAATGACCAGAAACCAGCCAGGTAAAGGGCAGAAGTGAATTTCTAATGGCAGAGATGACTGTCAAGTTTATTCTGCAGCTTCTCGGGAATCAGAGGGTGACATCAAGTGACCTTCAGAAGGAATGGGAAGCATTAAGTGCAGGTGTGAAGTTCACTGCTAGGACGGTTCATATCAGGCTCCTAGAAGCAGGACTGAAGGCCCATAAAGCAGCGAAGAAGCCCTTCATTAATGAGAAATGGAGAAGAACCAGGTTGCAGTTTGAAAAAAAAAACATATATATATATATATATATATATATTTAAATATATAGATGCGCACCCATAAATTGAGAAATGAGTGAAACAAAAAATTGTCATGTGGTCTCAATTCTTTCCAGAGCTGAATAATGATGATGTCAATAAATCTAGGGTAGGTTTCATTGAATAAGCGCATCCAATATATAGCATTTAAACTATTGCATGAAACACATATCAAAAGATGATATTTAAAACATACTATTAACAACTCAGAAAACACATTTCCATCTATTTCAGCCTGACAGAGGTTTGGCTAAAAGCCCAGTACGCTTTGCATTGTAGTATCGTATGCAGATGTCAGTGTATACCTCTCTGTGAGTGTAAACATATGTATGTGAGAATAAACACCCCACTTGTGTGTAAATGCATGGCTGTGAGTGCAAACACATCCCCACTGGTGTAAATAAGAGCTGTGAATAACCAGGTCTCATTCCAGGAAGATGAAATGGCATGATTTTCCCAACATGAATTAAATACAGATGTTAATAAAGCCACCATATAAACAATTATAAATCAGCAAAGCAACATAAAATAACTAGGGCTGTAGCTATCGAATATTTTGGTAATCGAGTATTCTACTGAAAATTCCATCGAGTAATCGGATTTGTGTTTTGTGTTTTAAGTAACCTAGGTTAGCCCAAGTTTGCATCGCTAGCTAGCTATCAAGGCTACTAGTATCCTAGCTCTACATCCGTCGTGCAGTATTGCACTGACCGTTGTGGTTTATCCCTTACATAATTAACGTACATTATTTAACAGCCCCTATCTCGATTAACAATCGCATTGATTTAACGCTACATTGAATTTATTTACCTGGTCTCGGGTGAGCGTCCTCCTCCGGTCTCT